AGCACTTCTACGTAGTTAACCTTCAAAAAATTTGCTCAAGTGAATTGATTCTTTTTGACACTTCAGGAATTTGTCCAAATTCTTGTTTGCACTTAATATCAACTAACTTATATTAGAACAAGGAGTGACTCCATTTTACGCGAACCTAAGAAGATTTGTACCATGAGTGATGGTACATTTTAATATGGGTTTCTTTTTTCAATCTCAATAAAACCATTTTAAAATTCTGCAGAATATAATTTGAAATGTGACAGCATGTTCTGCTTGTGCTAGTAGAATTAAGAAGCAGAACTCAATTCTTTAAGAGTGCTTCAAAATTTCTTACCCGCCCTCCTTTTTATTACCTTCTGCCTTGGATCATATCATGACCTAGAACTGTCATTAAAGTTTTCTTAGACCATCGCATGCTAGAACTTTTATTGCTGAACTTAAATTGAATCATTTTCTTTTCAGTTGTCTGTAGAGCCAACCATACGTTCGTTCAATAGCAGGCTACCACAAGAATCCACTTGTACATTTAAACTTCAAGTTATAGAGCCGTTAACTGACAGAGGTATACGTCAAAATTCCTTGGCAGACTCGCTGTTATATAACTAGAAATATTTGCAGTTCTGCTCAAAGGTGGCCCTCACACATGTCCAGTAGTAGATGATCTTCACGGAAACCGTGGCTTCTTTCTTCCACAAGCTTCGGAAACTGGGACAGTAGTGCAAAGGATGCTCAAAGGGAATGACTATTTTGGTTAGAACATAATTGATAGTTGTTAAAGCAAAATCGACCATTTTTTCCCTTTCAGGCAATCGCTGCGAGCTCACTTCTATTCTAAGCATACCTATAGAAGCTTTTGATGTCGACAAAATCGAAGGTATGGCGCCCCGGCCACCCGCAGTACCAGATTTCCGATTCAGAATGTTGACTGACAAGTAAGTACTGAGCATTATGTGGCTGCGGTACCTATGTTTGACGTAGCATTTGATGCAATTACATTATACCCCTCAATTTAGCTGACTTGATAAGTGGTGGCGAAGCAGGAGGACTTAATTAGAGACCTTAAAAACAGGCAAAATTTATGAATTAGAAGGGGTAGAACACATAGGGTTGCGGCCTGATCCCCTACTTAGGCTAAAAATTCCAAATTTATAATTTTGTTAGGATTCCTCCAGAAAGCCTTTTTCGTATGCTGATCAAAATATCATATCATTCATACAGGATTGCGGTGGGTAGAGGAAGGTGGTCAAAATCATAAAAGTAACTAAAAAGTAGTTTATTGTCTGCTATTTGACATAATAATATCAGCATCATCTCGCATGATGGCGTCTTAACAGAAAGAATAAAGCAGGTTTAGGAGGTTGAAACGGACCTGTATGAAAGTTCACGAGGAACAATTTTCAATGCTAAACATGAAAATGAGCTCAATTCACATTATTTTCTGCCGTAAAGGTCCAGTATGGTTAAAAAACGCCTTTTGTTTTGGCCTATACTCTGAATCAAGGGATACCTAAATTCGGCAATGCCAGCCATATGTCTGTGGTAAAGCGATACCTTAATTTTTGTGGTTAGACATCACATGCGTCACACGTACTAATAGCTTCATAAATCACTTTTGAAGTCTACAATGCTTATTCCCTCCGTCCACTCTACAATGTAAATCTACAATGAAGAATGGATACGATATTTGTTTAAAATAAATCAGATAAACTCACCAAACCACTTTTCCTCTTCCCGGTGATTTTGTCCTACTACGGTCACCTAGCGTAACATTTTAAGACCTGAGTGCAGCATGCATATTGATGACGGTCAGTTCAAATATTAGTTCCACTAGACCATTTTTCAAGGAATAATTTTGGCTCCTAACCGTCTATTACCCAGTATGCTTCTATCTTCTGAATAATGTATGTTATTCTGATTAGTATCAAACAACTCTCCTACACAAAGTTTTCGCGAAAATTTTCGCAGTAGATGTTTCTTACAACAAGTACATAGTGGATAGGAAAGTAATTATTTTTTACTTTCATTTTTGCAAGTCTGCTACTTTCAAGATGGTTTTTTAGGTCTCGCCAAGACTTCACAATTCGTTGTCGCGATGGTGACATCCTCGTTGCTAAAGAAGGCATCTTCCTAGCTTCTGAGTACTTTCGTGATTACCTTGAATCAGCTGATCACAACGATGCCAATTTCGGCGATGTGAACAAACAGGCTGTTCAAATTGTCAGTACTCTAGATACTCATGATTTGCTCAAGAAGTTCAGATATCTGTTTGTTTAGGCTTTGCACTTTACCTTGACTGGAACCACATTACCTATAGACAATATATCACCCTCTTTAGTGATTGACGTTATTGAAACTGCAAGGAGGTAATCACCATACAGTTACCCTGGCAACATCTTTTTCCAACGTTGCACTTGTTGAGGTTGAGATCTCTGAACTTCCCAAAGTTAAGAAATGCTGTCGAGGAGGATTCAGTCAAAGCAGCGGTGAAAGTAATGATTTATCTTTCTTCCTTCTTCTATCATTTTATCAAAATTTTTGGCTTCTTCTCACCAAATTAGTTAAGTCTTGAAAGTAACTATAAAAATAAGTGTTAAGCGGAACTTTAAATGCTTCTTCTCTGAAACTCTGAGTTATATTAACGGGATTTTCTCGAAGTTTATGCTTGTTGACAAATCTCAGAACATTTCACCTGAGATTTTAGGACCACGAAAATTTAGAAGAAGTGCTCTCTTGGTTTATTTGTTCACATGAATGTGGTATGCCAACTCTGCATATGGTTTGCCTTGCTTATATCGCTGGAATACATGCTAATCAGTATTTACGTGATTTTACCGATGGTTCTATGGTAAGTATGAAGATGGACAGCTTAAGTTCTTAGATTTCTGATTTTTGAGCCATCGTCAAGCAAAATAAGAAATCGGAGACATATAGTAGTTTGAGAAAATGGATTGGATTTTGATAAATTTGAAAATTGAGTGGAAAAAGAAGAATTGCAAATTAATTCTACTTTGCCACTCCGTCTCTTATAAAATCCAATTAAGAGTCAACTTTCCCTATAAACACCATGATTCTCTCCACATGTCAACCATTTGTACGCATCTTTTTTCATAAGATCTTTTCTATAACTCTCAATTTCCCTCTCTCACCCTTCACCTTTCTTCATACTATTTTCCCCGAGTGTATCTTATTCTTATAGATAGGAGGTGCACTCATTCTGATCAAAGAAACATTTTTATTTTAGAAATCTCTAATCCTCCCTTTCGTATTTCGTTATTATTAATACAGTCATGTGAGTATGCCTACTCCCTAATAAGGTATATTCATCATTGAAGGGCTGTATTTTCAACCAATTCTCGTTTGAAGACTTAATACTTTGGGGGCATGACTTATACCCATAAAAGACCTTTTTCATCAATTTCCCATTTTCATCAGGTTGTAAGAAGAAGAAGTCCTGCAATAAAACCATACAATACTTTCCCAAAGTGTTCCTCTGAAATAAGAGAAAAATGTTTGACTTCATGACAACAGATGCAACTCATTTGACACTTATATTTCCCAACTGATTTATAAAACTGTAATTTGATTCTCTGTCTTACTTATATCTTTCTTTAGGTGACTTCCGTGGCGAGAGCATATCCCGAACTGGCAGAGA